TTTTGCCATTATCATCTTTTAAAGGATTGACTTAAAAAATGTTTATGCTAAAATTTCACTTTTGAAAAACTGATAGCATTCAGCATTCTCTTACACAAGGACTGCAGCTACAACATCCACAACTAACACAGGGCATACCTTTGGGTAAAGAGCTGTCTACAGAGAAGTAGCTGAGATGTAGGCGAATGACACCTTTGGGAAATACAATAGAGATTGATACAGGCTGTCTGGAAGTCATGCTGATGGTACAGTTTGTTCTTTAAGGTCTATATAAAAAGGCAGTATAACTTCCTGCATCCTTTTCTTTTGTCTTAGGATATGTAGACAGGCTCATCACTAAATTTTGTGACAAAAGCTGTTTTTCCTGTTCCATTGCAGGAGAATCAAACTAGGTGACCTTTAAGGGTCCCTTCCAATTCAAACAGTTCTGTGATTCCTTGCTTATTAAAGTGCTTGAAATACCACATCTGCAATAAAAAAATGGCACTTATTTTACCAATTATATGCAACTATAGGAGAAATATCTAGGTATTTGGGTTGGTTATGCACTGCCGTGTGATTCAAAAGGGACAAGAAACAAAAGAGCAAGAAGAAATAACACCAGAAATATTTAAAAATTAAGGCTGGAAAAGACCACTAAGACCATCCAGTTCAACCATCCTAATACCATACTGCTCCTTTTAGTGGTCTTCCATAGTCTGTCTGCTTTGTAATAGGTACATTACGTTAGTTTGTCTTGGTTTAAAAAAAAAATAATAATACCTTTCTAATTCTCTTCTTCCACAAGATTGACATTAGGATCGGAGTAATGGAATTTTATAATAGCTGGTTAATTTAGCTCCCTTCAAGGTGTTAACCTAGTGGAAGTCTCTTATACATTGAATTTTATTTTTTGCTTTTTGAAAGTTTGCTGTAGCTGAGGTGCAAAGAAAATTCAGGTTTCCTGAGCTTGTGGTCCATGAATATCAGTCTGAGGCCACTTGCTTGATCTGCACATAACAGCACAAAAACTAACATACAAAGAAAATGAGGTTTTGAGTGCTGGCAGAGTTAAAACATTTAATGCGGGCAGGAACAACCCTAAGTCTGCTCTTCTGACAAAATGAAATTTTGAAGTACACCGAAGATGTTTGGGAAGATCAAGACATATTCCCTTACCTATCTATCCTTGGCATTTACATGCAGTATAAATCACTACAGTATGAGAACGCTGCACAACCTCAGTCTTTACATAACATCCATAGAATCACAGAATCATAGAATGGCCTGGGTTGAAAATGACCTCAAAGATCATCTAGTTTCAAGCCCCCTGCTATGTGCAGGGTCGCCAACCACAAGACCAAGCTGCCCAGAGCCTTGAATGCCTCCAGGGATGGGGCATCCACAACCTCCTCGGGCAACCTGTTCCAATGTGTCACTACCCTCTGTGTGAAAAACTTCTCCTAATATTTAACCTAAACCTCTCCTGTGCCAGTTTAAAACCATTCCCTCTTGTCCCATCACTATCCACCCATGTAAACAGTCGTTCTCCCTCCTATTTGTACGTTCCTTTCAAGTATTGGAAGGCCACAACAAGGTCTCCCCGGAGCCTTCTTTTCTCCAAGCTAAACAAGCCCAATTCCCTCAACCTTTCTTCATAGGAGAGGTGTTCCAGCCCTCTGATCATCTTAGTGGTCCTCCTCTGGACCCGTTCCAAGAGCTCTGTGATCAATCATAAACTCCTCAGTGATTCCAGGCACAGACAACAATTTTTGCTTCACTCCCTTGGACTGTTTGAGAATGAAAGCATAATAGATGGTTTTGGGATTGTTTAATATGTGCACGTTTCTCCAAAATCTTACATTACAGAACTTCCTAAGGTTCAGTGAGCATTTTGCTGCTTTTCTTAGCCAACTGGTTAATTTAAGACATTTTACATAATCTGCCCTTTTCTGCAAATGCCAGTGAGTAAAGTTTTGTCCTCATTATATCTGCTTCATGTGATTTTTGCTGGAACGTCCTAATGAGGAATTCATATTACACTGCCCAAGATGTTTCTCTTTGCTATACCCACCTGATATTTGGCATGCTCTGTCTCGCTGTCTTATGACAAGGTTTTGAAAAGCAAAAAGGTGCTAAGGAAAGCCTTTAAAGTGTATTTCCCTTTATTAAAGAGAAATATCAAGTAGTGTAGAGTGCTTTCCAGCTCTAAGTCAGGCATCAAGCCTTTTATCAGTTAAAGACTTCGGGAAAAACATTCAAAATCTTCTTATTGCTGTTTTAAATTAAAGCATGTTTTCTTATTATCTATATCTAGGTTCTACTCTGTGACAAGTTATAAGTAAATAAACAAATAAATAAATACACTTCTGGTTGGAAAAAGTGATTTAGTGGTTTTCCTGAGTCTTCTACCTGTTCAGTCCTCTGAGAGAGATGAAAACCTGATCCTTCACAGCACGTACTCTTTGTGACTTTTGTACCATGCTTTTTGCCAAGCTTTTCTCAGAGTGAGAATGATCCCTCTCTGATGTCTGCCATGTATAACCTGCTGTCAGCTAGTAACAGTGGCCTTTGACAAAGCCTCATATTTCCCAGGAGGAAAATCATAACGTTATTCTCATTTTACTATATATTCTTCAGATCTGTGTGTTCTCCAGTACAGAGGAAAAGCTCTAAAGATTGCAATTAATACAACTTCTACAATAAAAATATTTTTCAAATAATAATAATAATAAAGCTTTACAAACAAAAAGAAAAAAAAAAAAGCATCCAGGAAAAGAAAAAAATAGAACATCCTTAAGATCCTTTTTTAAAGATCTCACACACTTACTAAGGATATTTGCCCAACAAAGGTAGATATGTACAATGGTGGTAACATAAACTGACTGTCAAGCACGTATAAGGGAACATGAACCTTTTAATAAAGGCTAAAAAACTTGTGTGAAGGATAATCTGATAATCAGATTCCCACAGTGTTCCAAGGAGCGTGTGGCTCATTTTGCTGGCATATAGATAGACTATTTGCATCGTCTTTGTTCCACAGCCTTAGCCACTGTTTTTAAGAAAATTGAGAGTATTAAAATGTTACATTTATTTCTTCTTCACCTGGTGCCTAAAAAATTCAGCAGTATTTCAGCCATTTTCTTCCTTGAATTTTGAGTACTTAAACACTTTTGACAAATTAGGGAAATGACAACTGCCTTTATTTCTTTTCTTACAGTAAAACAAAAAACTCCTGTTGTCCTCCCATACTGTCTGTTAAGGTAAGTGATCTATCAGTGAAAGCTGCTTCTCTGTGCTTGTGGCATTCCACTAGTGAGAGCCTTTAAGACTATGTGCTTTAGGATGGCCTTGGGATAAGGATGCCAATGCCTCCATTTTGTGCTGGCTTGAACCAGAGGAGGAGCAGCAGAAGCTGAGGATGAAGGGAACAAGGAAGGATGCAGTGCTGTGGCACTGACAAGTGAAGGAGAAAAAAACATAGGAGGGTTACTGCCAGGAAGAACTTATTTTGTTTCCTTGTAGAAAGGTAAACCCAGAGACACAGTAGAGTTTAAATGATGTAAGTTCCTGTTATATTATTACATTGTCTTCATTTTTGTTATGGCAAGCATAGGAAGCTGGGCCATTATAGCATCTTCATACACACTGTCTCACTGTAGGCAGCTAAGGAAAGCAGTACTGACTTACTGCATGCTCACTGCTTGTAAGGGGGACCACAGCCCATGCCTGATGTCTTCACAACCCCTCAGCTAGAGAAATAAGCAACCTCCTTGACTACAGTGTTGTGATTTAAGCCAGCAGGTGGCTGAGCATCATGTGGTCATTTGCTCCCTCCCCCCATTTCTTAATGGGATGGGGGAGAGGATCGGGAAAAAAAGCAGAACTTGTGGGTTGAGATAAAACTATTTACTAAGATAGAGAAAATGAAAAGGTGAATAATCATGATAAATAATTACATATATATATGAATGTCTGTAACAAATGATGCCAAGCTACTGCTCATCACCCCCCCAAACTATGCCCAGTTCACTCCCTGAGCAATGGAAGAGAGCAAGGTGAACTCTCACCCCTTTCAAAACTCCTTCCATCAGCTGCCTAATTCTGTTCCTTCCCAGATCCTTGGGCCCTTCACTGAGAATTGCTTTGGTACTGCACAACATTGCATACTGCATTGCATACACTGCACAACATAGCTGCAACTATAAATATTGGTGTGTTATCAGCATTGTTTTTCTCCTAGATCCGAACTACAGCATCATACCAGACACTCTAAAGAAAGCAAGTCCGTCCCAGCTGCAACTAAGACAAACAGACAGAGTTCAATTTAAAAACCACTACCTTGATAATACCATCCTGATTAGCAGTAACTGGGAGATCTGTAGTGAATAACTGCAGATGGACAGAAAGTAAATAAAAAGGAAAACCATTCTCTTCTTCAATCACTATACATAAGGAAAAAAAAACAGCTTTAGAGAGAATGCAGTGGCATAATATTTGATCTGCTGAAAGCAATAAGCAATGTTGCCAATCTGTTGTCTTGCTTAGCCCAGTCATAATGAAGACATCAAAATTGCCCAAGAGATGACATCAGTACCGTTCCCAAACCAGCACCAGATGGAATGTCTTTTTCTGTCCTTTGTTATTCATGAGTGCTTTGGTTACTTTTTTCCCAGCTCAACATCTGGTCAAGTACTCGTCTCAGGTAATGAGTCAGTGAAGAGGGGTAAAGAATGGAGAAACTAATATTTAATCCTGGAGGATTAAATCCTGGAGGCCATAGCCTCATTTCCTTATTAACATGAGAGGAAAGCATAGAAAATTTGCTCTGCAAATCACATACATCAGAACTTAGATATTTCTAAAGAGTTTAGAAACAGTGCAGCTGAACAGCTTAGAGCAGAATGACAGTCTAGCTTTCCTAAAGAAGCCTTCTTCTTAGACTTTAAAATCACCCTGATGGCTTTTTCCATTCTCAGGTGCAGGGAGTAGCACTTTGAGTGTAAGAAGGGGACACTTACTCTGTATTGTGTGTATCAATCATGTGAAAAAGTTCATGCAGTTCTTCTCCACTCAGAACTCCATCAGCAAAGTAAGCTTTGAATTCATCAAAGGACAGTTTTCCATCATCTGAAAAAAGAAAATAAGAAGAAAGTGTCAGCTTTATTTATGGTTCTGCTCATGTAGTCCATGCGACAAAGGAGGAAGCTATTAAAAAAAAAACACCAACCACTGCCTCTTCATAGTAAATGTAGAAACTTTATATTCAAGACATGTAAATAATGTGATGTAAAATGCATCAGCTGTTGTACAAGAATTCTCAGTTAGACTGACAGCTCTGTTAATCTTCCTCCTCATCTTTCAAAAAAGATAGTTTGGATTTGTAAGTCTCTACTGCCAAACACATCAAGACAATCTTCTTGTCCTTGCCTTGATCCCATTCACTGTGTCTTCTTCCCATCCTCCCCACCCTTCCTCCTGCTTGGTCCATGTCCATGTCTTCACCTCTGCATGGAATATCAGTGGCCTCTTGGGGCAAAGAAACCTCGGGAAACTACAAAACCAATAATTTCTTGAAGGAACATGTAGGTTCAGTGAAGATTACTCCAGCTATTTATAGTTATCTATTTATTTTCCTTTTCTACTGCTTCCTGCCTCTTAAAAAGGAGAATGAAAGGGAGTGCACAGTTCAATAGCAGTAGGGTCTCCTGTGTGGCTAGCAATGTTAATCAATACAATGCTCTGGCCTGCAGCATTTTGATTTTCAAAAAAAAAAAAAAAAGAAGAAGCTCCAAGCTTGGTATAGAACTAACAAAAGAAAAAAGAAATGTTTGACTTTTATGGAGTAAAAAAATTCTTTACTATGAGAGTGGTATGAGAGTGGTGAAAAAGCTGCCCAGAGAGGCTGTATTCCAGTCCCTGGAAGTGTTCAAGGCCACATTGGATGGGGTCCTGGGCAGCCTAGTCTAGTATTAAATGTGGAGGTTGGTGGCCCTGCCTGTGGCAGGGGGTTGGAGATTCATGATCCTTGAGGTCCCTTCACACCCGGGCCATTCTATGATTCTGTGATTCTGTGAGTAAGAAGCCAGCTCCATGTCCTCTTCTAAGGGAAAGAATTTCAGTTCATCTTCTTGGTCAGTATAGAAAATAATAAGTATTATATTTGACAGCATGTGACTAGCCTGGAGATGACACCACAAATATGCAATGAGAAAACTGTTTTGAGCATATATCAGAGGTCAGCCGAATATTAAGGCAGTATTCAAATTGATCATGTAACATATAGTGGAGCTCAGCTATAAAAAAATTGACTTTATATTGTCTAAGTACCTACTATTACCATTTGTTTGGAACAAGAACAATCATAACCACATGGATCTCAATCACCACCAATATGATCTTGTCAATCCTGATCATTGATACATCTCCCTGTAGTTAGGAGGTGTCTTCAGGACTGATGAAACTGGAAGCGAGAAGTCTCATATGATTAAATTTAGAAGGACAGTAATAGCATGTACACTGATTGAAGAGGAAAGAGTCCTTGTTACAACTTCTACTGCATTATATAGCAGGTCATTTTCTTGATTTCACTTTAATTATAGCAAGCCTTTGTCTACGTGAGACAAAATCACTGAGATGTATTAGGAAGTGGTTAATTGGTGTTTTCAGGATGTTAGCACTTTAGATTGAGGCTCTTCCCTCCTTTTGTCAAACTGTGCACAATCCTGACCAATTTCTAAAGGATTTCTAATTTCTAAATGAATACTACACTATTTTGCTGAAGTAGGGATGGTATTTCTACTTCCTTACATCTAAACTACATCTACTTCCTTACGTCTAAAAAATCCTACTGATTGTGCTAAGCTGCAGATACTTTCTAATAAACAGATTTTCCTATTCTTTTAATTAATAGAATCAGAAATTGATAAAATGTGTCATAGTTTGGATAGCTTGTCCCACCCATAGGATGGCCATGACTGCATTGACTGAAGCAGAAGAATCAGGCAATCATTTATTCTTGTAAGTAAGACTCTTGGATGCAGGGATCATTGGAGTCTATTAACTTGGCCTCTAATTAGACAGCATGATTATTTTTTTCTTGAGAATATGATTCAAGGCTGAGGAGAGGGAATTAATTAAATGAAAAAAAAAAATGAAAATTCTGACTTCTGAAAAGGACTGAAGTCCAACATAGCCTATCATTCATAGGACACAAAACAACTGTAGAGCAAAGGGCTGAGATGTCCTTAACACCCAACAAGTTTACAATACTGCAGCCTAATTTTACAGCAGTGAAGCATCCATTACAAAGGCAGTGTCTGAATCCTGTAACTATGAGCTCTGCAGTAGCATGCTCACTTGAAGAGCAGAGCTAGGGAATATCTTCAATCTCTTACTTGCTCTTATTTCATAATTTCTTTGATTTGTATATATGACTTCAAATGTGATGTCTTCAAGAGGATTCAAAATTGGACAAATTGAGTGTCTGTTTCAACAAAAACATTTTGAAAGGTTCCACTTGAAAAGACAGATTGTAGCTGGCAATAATCATCATTATGATTAAAATGAAAAGGCAAGATCTATAAGAAATCTAAGTGAAGATGGCACAAGTGTGTTGAAGTGGTGAAGATAGGCAACTCCCTTTGACAGAACTGCCATGATTACCTAATTGAGAATCTAAATACATCTGCCATTTGGCAGTAGTTGCAGAGTACAAATACCAACAAGCTGCTTTTCACAACTATGCTTTCTTTGGCTTATGCTGACAGAATTTATCATTTAATTAAATTGCCTCTGCAACTTTAGCCTCTGCTGTGCAGGGGATTCATGTGAGCTACACACACACACAAGGAAGCAGTGATTTTTGGCAACTTTCCTGTATTAAGCATATGTGTTTACTCACAGAGCAGCCTGGCTGTGACACAGAACCTGAAACATCTGCCTATTTATCTTTGTTCTTGAGGATCATTGGTTTTACATCAATCCACAAAATCAATGAACTGCCAACTGCCAGATTGGGCACATCAGCTGTTTGCTTTGTATTTCATTATCCAACAGCAGAGACTGCCTTTTGATTCATCACTGTTATTTTCAGTAACAGTTTTAAAAGCCAGTCTGATACTTCAGTAAGGTTGTTGCTGGCAAAAGCTAAGGAGCATTGAACATATTTGGTTACTTACAGACTTCATGCAGCTACACTTACTGAAACAACAACTTGATTATTTGAGGCATTTCTCTCATTTGGTATAAGTGTAACTGTTTGCTACTGTAAGTGGCAGCCAGGGTAGATCTGTTCCTCTTGAGTACTCAGATGAAGTTCAGGCCCAATCCCTAGCAAGTGTTCCTTTTACTGTTTAATTGAAGACTTCTGCCTAGCCAACTGCTTTCCCAGCTTCCAGCATGAGCCTTAATTTAAAAGACTGCATCACATATCCTCAGTCCTCCCTCCCTGGAGGCATGGTTCACTGCCCGCAGAGCTTCCAGATAAATACTGTCTGGTTTAAGAGCTCCAAAGCAGCAGAGCTGAACCGTCTGTTACAGATACTTCAGTCTTTGCCACTGGCAAAGTGACAGGGGATGGGTGATTCATGGAAGATAAACTTTTCCGAAGGCACATCCCTTGGACAAACCAGACAAATCCTTCAGCCTTCAGCAGTGTTTGCCTTGGCAACATTATCTCACAGGAGCTGTTTTGCAAGCCTTGCTTGCTGTTGCATATTTGTGAAGTTTCTTCAAAAACAAGCATAGTTCCCCAACCTCCTTGGAGCCCAAAGGTTCCTGACTGGCAGTATAAACAATAAAATGTATCTCCCTATGTAGCTCCAAGAGTAAAGCCTTCTATTTTATGATGTTGACTCATGACATCAAGAGGGGGATGTTGGCAGATGTTCCTACCAATAGAAGCATAGAATCATCAAAGTTGGAAAAGACCTCCAAGATCATCCAGTCCAACCATCCACCTACCACCAATATTTCCCCACAAAACCATGTCCTTTAGTACATCTAAATGCTTCTTGAACACCTTCAAGGAATGCAACTCCACCACGTCCCTGGGCAGCCAGGAGACATTGCGAATTGTCTATCTTGTCTAATTGACTTCAAAGGACTACAGTGTATCTGACAAAAGAAAGCCACATTTGTACTCTCTTTCTGAGTTGAAAGATAACCCCAGTGAGCAAAACAAAATAATAATTAAAAAACAAACAAACAAAAAAAACCAAACCAAACCAAAACAAAACAGAACAAGGTACCTTTGATGTATTTGTATTCTCCATTCCCAAAGATAATGGCAAATGATGAGTTTGAAGCCAACAGAAGTTATAGTGATCAGGGGAGCAGTGTACCTTGCAGAGGTGATGGCAAAGGCCTGAAGGCAACCAAACAGTTCCCATTGTCACCTATTTTTCACTTCTGGGTAGGACTGTGAGCCCTTCCCAGCAGATACTGCCTTTGTTCATTCAGCATAGGCCTCCAGCAGCAAAAGTAATCTACAGGCTTCACATATGAGCTTCCAGCCAATGTTTCCATAGCAGGAGCAGTATCAGATGGCTCATATAGCTTACTGCAATCAGAAGAGCTAAGGGAAGGAAAACTAAAACTGATCCCAGGATTCAACCTGATTAGATGGGAATTCAAAAGCACAGACAATAGAACTGTGCCAGCCCAACCAGACTGCAAGTCCATAACTACTGGATGGATGAAATGCTAGAATCAGAGCACTTGAGTGCTAAAAGATACTGGCATTTTTCAGTGATATACACAGAGGAAGGAGGAAAGGGGTGAAGATAGAACCAGATTCAAAGACTTGAAAAAACTTAATTTGTTGCCCTATGGCACCTAGACTGAATGAGACAAAGGAGATGCTGGTGAAATAATAAATTTCAGAGGTTATGGTGATCAGGGGAGCAGTGTACCTTGCAGAGATGATGGCAAAGGCCTGAAGGCAACCAAACAGTTCTCGCTGTCCCCTATTTTTCACTTCTGGCTAGCGGTATCCTCCAGGTTTCAGACATAAGAGGATGTGTAAGAAAAAGTACTAAATCTGAAGCTTTAAAGATTCTGTGCTTTCACTGACTCTGATCTGCATCAAGTGTTGATATAACCAGATATAATGATTTCGAGCCATATCAGGTAGATTCAATCAATAGAATCCAGTGCAGGAGAAGCACATGTAACTGTGTGGTTCCAGCAGAGTAGGATAAATAGGAAGAAGGCTGGAATCTAAAAGTCGGCACTTTTTTTTTTTTTTTTTAATAAAAATAGTAAAATTTGGAATCTTAAAATCCACTGGCATGGAACTTATGAAATGTGAAAGAATATAAATATGTGAAAATGTGAAAAAATACAAATATTAAGTGATGCTTAATATCTGTTTATGATTACCTTTTGTCTACTGATTATGCCAAACCCTGTTTGTTTTCACTGCAGCATGACTTTTTACGCAGGTAGTGATAAGGGGGAATGGCTTTAAAATAAAAGAAGGGAGATTTAGATTAGATGTCAAGGGGAAATTTTTCACTGAGAGAGTGGTGAGATGCTGGCACAGGCTGCCCAGAGAGCTATGGATGCCTCATCCCTGATATGTTCAAGGTCAGGTTTTTGGAGCCCTGGGCAGCCTCCTTTGGTGGGTGGCAGCCCTACTCCTGGCAGTGGGGTTGGACCCACTCATGGACACTGGAATGCAGGGCCCAGCCCCACAGCATCTGAGGGATTTGGGGAGGTGGGGTGGGGAATCCAGAATTCAGAAAGTCTCTGCTCCTACAGGAATCATTACCATCAGTGTTTTCAAATCTCTCTCTCTTAGGAGCTTCAGAGATGTCTGAGACAAAGCTTGTGCTCAGTGTTTTTTCATAAGAGTTGACTGGTATTTCCAAATCAATGACAGCATCTGCATACAAACCACCTTTTCAAACCAGCTGTATTAGAACAGTTTTACTTAACTCCTGCTTGGGTTTGATCCCAGGGTTAGGGGGGAACAAGCCCATCATCAAGCACAGGTTCTTAACTTGTGAGACTCAGTAGCCAGGCAAGCATGCTGCTATGCTTGTAGCCATTTGTTTCCACCTCCATAGGGAATAGACCTGAAGCAGCCATGCTCCCCTCAAGAAAAATCCTGAGAGGATAAAGCAGAAAGACTTTGACAAAAGAACTGCTATGCTTGCAAGATGAGGAGCTGTGCCTTTAGTAGATTATCTCCAGTTTGCATATCTTACTTCTCCCCTGCTAAGTGGGGAGGAGATTTTACTTTTTGTGAGGAATTTCATGAGTTTGATGTTGTTGTAAGTAGCAAAAGAAATGAAATAAATGAAGAACTTTCAGTTGGGAATTTTCAAAATAAGTTCTGTGTCAAATACTTTGAACACAGGGATTTTTGTAAAGTAAACCAGACCAAAATTTCATTTTGACATGCAAAACCGAAACCTCTCCTTTCCAGATAGGTCAGTGTGCAACATCTCACCTTTATGAAATTGTTTATATTCCTCAGGATTTTCTGTTGCCTTTGTCAATATTATGAATCATATATTTCTTCAAACTGTGATATTCTTTTTCCATGCCAAGTTCCCTCTCTCAGAAAATCGTATGACTCTTTCAGTTGCAGGAAAAGCGTTTATCTGATCCATACAGAGTGGAGCTGCTCAGTCATGAAATACAACCTACAGATAGAGTTTATGAAGCTGATCATCCTGTTGAAGTTGTAGATATTTCCAGAATTGGAATGGCAACAGAATGATGGCAGAGAAAGAAGCCACCACCACAATATAATTAAAATTTATATGCCTTCTTTCAAATGAGGGGAATGACTTCGGTAAAGTAGTTTCTCACTTAAACCCATCTGTCATAAACAACTGTCATATCTCTGAGTAACAGAAATTCAGCAGGATTTCTCAGCTCTGTAGCTCTTAAACAGTCCTTCCTTTGCTTAAGGCAAGCCTTAAGTCACACAATCCCTAAATTCAGAGTAAGAACACCCTCTCTTATCGTAGCCTATTTTTCAGTTTGATCCAACATTTTGATTGCATTGCTTTATTGCTGTCAAACAAGCAACAAGTAGGGTTTTTATAATTAGTTGCATTGGGGGTATTGTAATCCCATAGAATTATTATGGCAGCTCTAAGAGAAGTGTAGAAGAGCTTAACAGATATCCTGGACAGCAACTTGGTATTTGTTACTGTAAGCCAACACTTGGTTTCTGTAGCACAGAAAGGTGACTGGAAATGTAATTATCCTATAGAATCATAGAATCATAGAATCACCAAGGTTGGAAAAGACCTAAAAGATCACTCAGTCCAACCGTTCACCTATTCCCAATAGCTCCTACTAAACCATGTCCCTCAACACAACATCCAGCCTTTCCTTGAACACCCCCAGGCTCGGTGACTCCACCACCTCCCTGGGCAGTCCATTCCAGTGCCTGACCACCCTTTCTGAAAAGTAATACTTCCTAATGTCCAGCCTGAATCTCCCCTGCCATAGCTTGAAACCATTCCCTCTGGTCCTATCATTATCCTATTCATTAATGAAAGCTAATGATCTGTGTTGACAACAGTGTAAACATATTAGGTATGTCTTCAAATTTCCAGTAACATTTCAGAGCAGTTACTTAATATTGTGGCCTTAAAACAAATCTGCTCCTTAATAATTCAGCACTAACCTCTGCTAGATTAGCAAAGTGGAAGTCCCACAGGCTACTGATGGTTGAGCAAACACAATTAAGCACATATGAAACCACTTCCAGTTTATAGACTTAAATTAATAGAACTGGAGTGCTTGATCTCAATTCCTCCAGTACTATGCTGTAAAGCATCCATGTATAGCTGTGAACTCCAGTGAGCAAAGTCTCTAGGGCTCATGTGGCTACTGGAACAAGCAAGTTCGTCACTGATTGTGAGAAGTTTGCTCTGTTCTAATAGAAAAGTGTAAGTAATAAACTGGGGAGTAACTAGAAGGAGGACTGGAAGTCCTCCTCACCATCAAAGTGCTGTGGATCCAACAGGATTGGGACAGAGAATGAATTCAGATGTTGGGACATAGACTTGAAGCCCCAAGGGCTCTTGATGGCCACAGTGGCATTCAGCAGGAGCTGGCCATGGACGAGTGCTACAGGGCTGACTAGGAGAGGAAATAGAAAATCTGTCACTGAGTAATCATCTGGATAATGCTCAGTCACATTCAGATCTCAAGAGGGACGCTGACTGCTGCTCTGTACCATGCACTCAGTCTCGTACCAATCTTCAGGCAAACATAAGCATCTTCCCAAAAGCCACAAGCAACCTGCTGGCAATGCTGCAGTTGGTGTGAAGCTAAGCTGGCAAGGCACTGCTGGTGAAGGTCCTCTTTCATCCCTTTCCCAGCATCCCACACATCCCACATGTTGGGATTCAGTTTGATTCATCACTGCACTTGAGAGTCTTTGGTGAGCTGAGGGAGATAACAAAAAATCACTACAAAAAACCTTACATTGGGCTGGTTTTGTGCCTCTGCGCTCTCTGAATGAGACTGCTGTAGTTTAGTGGGAAATACCAGTTGCTGCACACAAGTTTGGGCAGAAACACACTGCCAGAGGTGGTCCTCCCAGCAACAGCTAATGGCTACCCAATGTCCCCAGCTATACCATCCAAATGTACAGGAGCTGCTTTAGTGCCCAGCAGGTCTTCCTTGAAAGAACACTGGTCCTCACCAATGTTCTCAATGACAGTCATTGTGCCTTCACCTACCAGAGTGAGCTTTATCAAAACTGCACAAAATCTATTTTCTGAGGACAGACTGGGAGTAACCTGCCAGGGGTAAGCACTGAGCTGTGGGTCTGGCACTGCTCACAGGAAAATGCCAAAGTGCAGCCTGAGCTTTTCTAAGAACCTTAGTTTCCCTACTTCTTATACATTAGCATTACAGTGATAAGTAATTGGGAGCCTGTATTTTCTTCCTGTCTTGTGTGATCTAGCTCTGGTTACCTAATAATGTATGATAGCATAAGTACTAATATGGTAATTGTAGTATGACTTCATAGTCTCAGAAGTACTCAATCTCACATTGTAGCAGTGACATCATTTTTCTAATAGGAAAGTGGCACAAAATGAAAATGTGATTTGACCAAAATTGGACAGTAGTTCAGAGATGAGAAAAGGAGTTAAAGACAGGTCCAAGACAACGAATACGTACACCAGCCAAAACTCCTGTGATGAACCTTGTGGCCTTTATGGCCAGGCCCTTCCCCTGGTATAGCCAAAATGTGTGAAGATTTACATGGTCCAACTTCCTGTATTCAAACAGGGGAGTGACATATGTGGAAAGAAGATTTGTCTTTAGCACCAGGAGAAAAATTTCAATAATGTAATAAAAACCTCACTTTTGTGTTATAAATGCACAAGTTGAATTTAAAGTTTTATTCTGCCTACTGACACACAGAACAAACACATAAACACAAACGGAGGGAATGCGAATTTGACTGCTGGATATAGCCTATAGTGTTTTAAAAAAGTAATAAAATGAAGCTAGAACCAAATAGATCAAAATTTTTTGGGAACAGAATGTCCTTATGAAAACTCCCACATACACCAGAAGTGCAAATCAAACACACATGCTAAATTGTGAAAGCAAAAGATCTGTTCTTAAGGAATCCATTGGGAGAATCAGTGCACAACAATACACATTGCACAAAACCTGTAGAAAACATAAAATGGTGTGAGAGATGGCTGGTTTTCATATCAAGATGTTTAAAGCACAATTTAAAGGCTGTATCAGTGATGAGTATTTTTCCCAAAGGGAAGAGGGAAACAGGTGACTGGTCTTACCATTCTTGTCTGCTCTTCTCAGTATCTAAATGAAAAAAGAGAGAAAGGAATTACTTTTCTGATACGAGTTCAGAGCATATAAGGCTGTATTTAATGGGCATTCACAGTTGAAGTGCTACATTCACATTCCAGATTGCTGCATAAAAATTGAAAAGCCTTCAGTGTATCTCCATTCTTCTCTTGCAAAATTGCTTTCTTTAACTCCTCCTGTGCTGCAAGCACATAAACCAAACCCCTAGGAACCAGCTTTATTTACTAGTTTACATATGGCTTACAGGGATCATGTTCAGGCACAAAACCTGATCCCACAAAACTGCTGTGTTTATGGACTTGGGGATGGGAGAAGCCGTATAGAGAAGCAGAACAAGGGCAGTTGGCAGCTGGGGCATGCTCTGAACATCTGAGGTGCAGAGAAAGACTCAGGGTCTGGGTGTGTGGAGGGAGAAGCAGGAGAGGAGCTGGGGAGCACACAGTGATCAGACTGGGGGTGGCAGGCAGCAGTGTCAGCTGAGTGGGAGCAAATCTCAGGATTCCTTTGATGATAGGAAACAGAGGTGGAAGAAAGGTCTCCACATGCAAAGGCTGTGAAAGGACCCCAGCGGGTGCCCCCAGTGAAGACCAGTGGAATCTCATCTGGGGTCTCAGTGCAGGTACCACCACCACAGCCCACTCCTCGATCAGCAGTTTATGATAGGTCCCTGTTCTCAGGGTGAGGTGGTTTTGCTGATTAGCTGACAATGGCAGGAGTGTGCTCTGCTTATAGTGCTGCAACTAAATGAAAAACCTGAGGATTCAGCTGCCACGTTCTGCTGGATCATCCTTGTTGCTGAATTCTGTCGTATGGTGTCAGGGCAGAAATGACAGAACAGTGACCAACAACAGGATTTCGTTTATGACCTCTGAGCTGAACTTTCCTCTGGGTCAGTTTACATCATGTGCAGTATGAAGGAGGCTTATCAGGATGACACCCTCCCTCCTTGTATTTCCAGATAAATTAGTTTTCTGTATGAGGATTGGACTGTTTGGGGTTTTAAAGTTTATACTCTAAACTGGAAATTTCCTCCTAATGATAACATAAAACTTTTGGCAAAGAGCAGAGCAAAGGAAAGAGCATTCAGAGAATTGTTGGAATAAAATAAAATCTTTTTCCATGGCTGCTAATGGGTAATATAAAGTCTTGGATTCCTGGCAGGTTGAACTGGACTTTTGGGAGACTGTTGTTGGTCTTTCTCCCATGTCACTGCCAAGCACTCTTATTTCCTTTCTTGTCACCTGGAGGAAAAGTCAGCATGCATGTCAGTGTATCTATCAGTCAAAATGGCATAGAATCATGGAATCATTAATGTTGGAAAAACTTCTGAGGTCATTTAGTCCAACCACCCACCTACCACCAATACTGCCCACTGAACCATCATGCTCCATAGCTAGTAACTGTATGTATGCAGAGATGGCAAAGAAAGTCACAGAGTTGAATGATTTTGCAGGTTTTTTTCAGCTGGAAATTGGCAGATTCGTGAAGTCTGAAGACAGCACTGTGAGATCTAAAGTGATGAACTGAGCTTTGTTTTGCCCAATTACAGGCGATTCAAAGGAACGATGGGTGCCCACCACCAGAAGCATATCAAAGGTGCCAGCAGTGTTGAAGTCCTGCTGCTCACCTTGCAGGTTCATTACTAACAGATTAAAATGGCCGTTGTCACAAGCAGCAGAGCCTCATGCGTGGTGCAGCTACAGTAGGGATGCACACTGCACCTGGGGCAAGGCATCTACATCACCAAGAGTGCTGTTTATTCCATCTTGGCTTATAGATGTGTAGGGTCAGGGGCATCAATTGACTAGAGGTGCCCCAAAGATACGGGTCAAAGCTGGCTAAAAAAATCTGCATAAAAATACTTTTTAATGAAAATAACACTACCTCCACCATATAAAAATGTCAAAATAGTTTGGATGTATGGTAGGTATTTTGACACAAAAGCAGGGAGGAGGTTGCACTAGAAATCAAGACTGCTGTATTTTCATTATGCACTCAAATGGAAACAGTAACTCGATGAAGAGATTTAAAGAAGTTCTTATGAAGCCTAGAGAAATTATTAGATGAGCAGACATGGTTTTGATTTTGCTTGAAATAATTTGGGCAACAACCTGGGGACGTTAATCATAGAATCATAAACTCTTCTGAATTGAAAGGGAACCTTAAAGGTCATCTAGTCTAACCCCCCTGCAATGAATAGGGACATCTACAGCTAATGTGGTCATATTGGATAAAACATGTAGATAGAGGATCCTGAAAACAAGCTTTAATACACAACATGTCCTTTCTAGCAGATACTGTGGATTAACTCTGATACGAGTTGGTCTGAAGTAGATCACAGTTGGTGGTAGTGTTTGAGTGCTATGAAGGTACGTAGATACGCAGGTATGAAGATTTTCAAGTCTCATGAAATGCAGAGGATACGTTAGAGATTTTGGGGATGGAGTTTGCCTTTTATGCAGTGCTTGCCTTAGTCCAAAGGAACTCTCGGTGCCAAGCAAGCTTAGACAACAAGTATTGCACCTGCATCTTGAGGGACTGAGCTGACGGTCCAGCACTGCACCTGGAGGAGCAGGATGGGCACATGCTGGGCTGCTCCTTCATCAGGCTTCTCTTTCAGGTCTACTCAGCACCTCAAACCCATCAGGCTCTAGCAGGACACACTGGGAAAAACTCCACATTTCTGCAGGGTGAGATACTCTTAGTGGAAAGCCCAGAAAAAAAAAATAAAGTAAAAAGCCAAGCAATGCAGCTTGACAAATGATGGCTTTTTCATCCAGTGCCTCTCTGAACCTTCCCTAATTGCTAACCTGCTCTCCTGATACAGACACACTGTTGGCAGCAAACTCACTCTCCAACACAGGAGGAAAAGAGGAAGGAGAAAGCGAAGAGAAAAAGGAAAAGGCAAACGGAAAGGGAAAAGGGAAAAGGGAAAAGGGAAAGACCCATAGCCTTGCTCAGCTTCATTTCCTTCCACACAGGAGAGGAAATCGTAGCTCCGCAACAAAAAAAGGCAAAGAAAAAAACCCACAGCAATAAATACACCCCCATCCCCAGATGATTGGGAATGATGCAGGGGGTCCCGGCAAGGCTGCCGCCTACTCACATCGCGGAAGATGCGCAGCCCCGCGCCCAGCTCCGCCGCCATCCGCCCGTCTCAGCCGCCGCCACCGCCCGCAGCAGCGCCGGGACCGCGGAGGGAAACCCGCCGCCCCCCGGCCCCGTCCCGGCCCCGGGGCTGGATGCTTTGCCGGGGGACGGGCCGCAAGCTCCGCCCGCCGGGGGCTGGGTCCTGTGTGCGTCTGTTGGTGCCGAGGGTGAGCTCCCTCCAGTGAGTCGGGCAAATCATTAGAGAAAAAAAGAAAAAACGCCCCAAAAGAGGCTGGAGGGGAGCTCGAGGGATGCGGTAGACCCTGTGTTGAGAGACGGCACTCTGACATTTCTCTCTGGGTCAGTTTTGGGTTAAGCCTCTTTTGTAGTCTTGGAGTGTGGATAGGTAATGAGGGCCAAGCATATTTTTACTTCTCCGTTATGGACGTAATGATAACCAAAAGCAAATGGGCTTGAAAATAGGATCCTATGTCTGAGAGCGCTGCCCAAACGCTCCCTGAACTCCGGCATGGGGCCGTGCCCACTGCCCCGTGCAGCCCGTTTCGTGCCCGCCGCCCTCCGCTGCAGCCCCTGTCCCTGACCGCCACCCTCCCTCCCCTGACGCAGCTCCATGCCATTCCCTGGGGCCCTGTCGCTGTCACACGGAGCAGAGCTCAGCGCTGCCCCTCCGCTCCCTGTGAGGAGGTGCAGCCGCCGTCAGGCCTCCCCTCAGCTCCTCTGCTCTGGGCTGCACACAGGGACCTCAGCTGCTCCTCATACATTTTGCCCTCCAGAGCCTTCACCATCTTTGAAGCCCTCTTTTGGATGCTCTCTAATGGCTTGATGTCCTACTATTGCGGCGCTCAAAGCTGCACCCAGTGCTCAAGGTGAGGCTGCACAGCCGCTGATATGTCAAGATCTCTTTACAAGACCTGCTCTCAAGGGATTCAACATTTCCTCCTAATGTAGTGACTTCCACAAACTTACTTTCTGGGGTTATAGATGATTTATAATGCGTTCACTACTGACAGTACTTCTGGTGTTTGACTGAGCCTCTTGACCCAGGTGATGCCCTTTAGCTCCTGCTCTTGGTGGCTACATCTACTACACATCACAATCATGATAATGTCGTAGGTAATGTGAGAGTGAAGGTTTTACTTTGAAACACCTTCCTGTATTAAAAGGCTCTGATACAGTATGGCATGTTCTGTGTGGATTTTCTTGCTTCTTCTACTTTGTTCTCAGACTTTAATAGAGATCAAAGAATTCAGAGAGAGATTTGTCCAAAAGGGAAAACTGGGCATTTTACAGGGTGAGAAAATTGCATCTTGCTTACTAAAGGTGTCTTGAAAGAGATGGAAAATCATCCCAGGCTATTATTGCTTTTTAATAATACTGAGAGGCTTCCATTTGATCTGCTTCTTGTGACAGAAGTCTGGATTGCTGTTTCTTTCCAGACAGAGAAAGAAGTCCAAAGGTTGTCTCAAGAGCCAGGACGATGAACAGAGATGTGGAAAAGCTTCTCTAGGTTATATATGGGCTTGTTTTTGTTAACTGTTATAACAACAGTAATAATAATGATGCATATTTTACTTGAATTACTATCTTGAAACGAAAACATCTTTTTCTGAAGAACTAATATATTTCCCATTTGATTGGTCTTAACAGGAATACTTTATGTCTGTCTAGAGAAATCTTTCTTAAAATTAGTGAGAAATTTTATTGCCAAAAATATACATTTACAGAAATAAAACAAACCATGCAGGAATACAAGGAAGTCATATTTCCATCATTAAAAAATATTTCTTGCAAAGCACCTTTGCATGACATAGAAGTGTGGAAGAACTATTAAAGTAATGAACATTGTCAGAGACCATTTAGTTTTAAGGTTTAAATGAGCAAATAAATTTGTGAGGGGAGTAGGTGCATGACTTTCTGATGGGACCTTTTTATACCAGTAAACATTTTTTTAGAGTGCCTGAGTTTTAACAGCACAAGGAGGATGAAAACTCTGAATTTCACTGATTTCTGTAATGTGTTCAGTGATTCCTCTCTCTCTGAACAAAAGGTAGTGGGGAGGCTATGGGGAGGAGGGCCGTGGGGATAAAGCCATATGAGGACATGGGAGTGCAATTACATGCAGTTATGTTCTGAAATCCCCATGGGAGGTTAACAGAAGCTAGTGACCAGTGATCTGGTCACTTCAGCAGCCACAAAGCTGTGCGGCTTATAATCAATTAAAAGAAATGGAGCTGCCTGGGATGTGTGTGAGAATAAAGCATAAAGCTGCCTGCTCTTTTTCTTGCCGTGTGTCACATCATTAAACTTGCATTTAGGAACCAGCCTACTGTACCAATGTCTTCACTCCTGTGAAATGAAAGGAAATGACCAGCCAGTACTTAACGATGTTGCCCTTTTATCTGAGAAACAAACATAAGAAAAACAGCACCAACAGCTGCCCTACACTTACCGTGTAGTGGGCTGTGCAACAGAAGCCCTCAGCAATGGGATAAATGAAACAGCTTCCTTTATACGGAGGAAATGTAAGTGTTCTGACTCTCTAATACAGTTACTAAGTCACTTTATGATGGTTAGCCATGTGTGTTGCCTCTAAATGTCAGGAAAATGCTCATGTCAAAGTAGAACATTTCCAATTGAAGACTAGCTTGCACGCTATGGTAGCCCACGGGTCTGTAATGAAAAGTACTCTTTGGCAGAAGAAATGTATCTGCTTTATGTTCCTTTTTTAACTGTAGGAGTGGGATGGTAGCTACAGAAAGAGTTGAACTAGCATAATATGATGTCTCTCTGTAGCTCTCAGAACATGGTGTTTTGTCATGGTTTGAACATCTGGCCTAATGCTCTATAGGCAAAACTCAAATCCCCCAGACCCATGGCCTGCTCCTTTTCCTCTGGTCCCATCTCCACTGTTTGATAGAAGAGAAGCCAAAACGAGAAAAAATAAAGAGAAGCCAATTCCTCCAACAGGAATCCAGAGTAGACAACTGGGATGCAGAATGTACATCAGCAGGTGAGTTGAATCCTGTCTGTGTGCACTGGAGCTCTTTTCTTGTTCACCAGGAAAAGAAATATGGTTTAAAGCCATAACAACACGTGGAATTAAGCAGCTGATTTCCTTGTTGCTGTGATGCTTCATACAGCTTGCACTAAAACATTATTTTGCTCTTTTTCATTTGCATGCTCTTTCTATACCTGTTTGGGAAAATCACAGTTTACATAGAGGCTCTGAGTATTATTTTTCCAAGCAGTTCTGTGTGTTGGACTGACTCTTACAAGTCAGTAGGAAACATGAGACCTCTCCTGGGATCTAAGGCAGCCTTCAGAGCAGCAGCTGTGAACCTTATCTCTCTTTATTGCCCCCTCCTTTCCATCTGTAGGAGATAAACAAGACTTCTGAGATGGAAAAGTATAATTATAAAAATAGTAAAACTGGTATGATTCTGATTTCAGTAATGCACAGCAGTGCACTCGAGGTGCCAAGAGTAAACTAGATAGGCATCACTGTACAAAGCATAGTGGTTTTCCTTGCAAGAAGTAAAACTTTTTAAAATTTTCACACACTCTCAGATACAGCCAGACAATGTTTTTAGTACAATGTTTTAGGGACTTGTGAAATACATAAGATGTGTGATGTTAATTAATATACCACAGAGAGTTCTCTATGCATGCTCTGTTTACAGCCAGTCCTGCAGGAGCATTTTAGAACAAACAAAGTGTAGTAAAATGACTTTAATGGGGCACCCAGCAGAGACTATGTCTCATGTTGAGAAAAAGCCTGCTGTGAGGCTGGATGCCTAAGTCAGATATTTACTTTAAAGATCTAAGAAAAGAAACAAAGGGGAATATCAAAACATGACAGAACCAGAAGCATGACAGTGCAACAGCACAGTGAAAGAGAAGATCTTTCCTTCTTTGTATCTGGGGGAAAAAAAAGGTAGAAGAAAATGCCAGTTGTTAGACTGAAGCTAAATATTTAAATATTTAAACGTTGAACCCAAATGCAAAGAAGTCCAGTTTGCAGTACTCAGATATAAGCGATGCTCCTGAGCAGACCCTAAGCCTCAGCTCCTTTTCACTTCATAAGGGAGATCAAATGTCTAGCTGTAAAAAAGCTTTAATCACAAAGCTTTAATCTGTCATTACTTGTAAAACCAGGGGGGATAGTTCACTGAAGAAGCCAAGGGGAGGGAGAAGAAGAGAATTCTTCAGAGGTGAATGCTTCTTCAGCACTGACTACAGAATAATTTTAGGAGGCTGGCTAGTTTATTCAAATGCCTGAAGTTTGTTGGGGTGTGTAAATAACTACAGTTCCGTGCTTCTGTATCCTCCCACCAATGTTCTCATATGAGTGATTTGTATTGATTTCCCCCGATACTGGGTGAGTTTTGGATTCACTTATTTATGACTGTTTATGCTGGAAATGTCAAAGGCAGGTTACCTTCAACACAAGTTATTTTTCAGGAGTTGAATGTGCTGTGACTCACCTTGGGGTGAGCTGGAACAGAGAGAGGGCTCTTGTAGGTGTGTTTTTGAACCATCACTGTGTTGGCATGCAGTTGGTGTGCTCTGAGATTACTGTGATGTAATGATGAGATTACCAAGTGAGACAAGCAAAGGATTGACCTGCTTCTGGACTTTTGTTGAGCTAAATTATAGTTTGGGATTTCAGGAAAGTGTTGGTGCTTAACTTCTGCCTTCAGTGATCAAATCTTTTGCTAGGTGCAGGTCACTGTCCCTCAAAGGCAACAGTTTTAATTGTATGAATCTAATGGCAAAATCATAGAACTGAAAAAAGTTTCTCAAATCCATTTCTGTATCTAGATTTGAGAAATTAGAATTTTTTTTTTTTTTTTTAGAAATACTGTATTATCACAGTGGTTTTGTGAAATGAAGAATTTTTGTTTGGCAGTTGATGAAATTCTGCTCTCCGAAACAGTCACCTGCCTTATTCCATCATTACAGTCATGCCTGAAGCTTCACGCTGCTGGCAGTGCCCTCTCCTTTCAGCCTCCACAGGTGATGTTCACAACCTGGTAGCACATCT